GGTGGGGGGAAGCTGCTGGGCTGGATCAAGAGACTTGCTTCCTTGCAGACAGGCACTGCTGCTGCTGTGTGGGAGCAAGGTGGACAGACTGGAGCAGACACCACCCTGCCCCCACAGCCCCAGCCTGGCTCCTCCTGAGCAGTGGCTGGAGGCATATGGTGGGCTGGCCTGGGCACTGCTCCTCCTGCCTGAGATGAGAATGAGACAGGACAGGGTCTGGTATGGGGAGTGCTGCTGCGGGAGTGGGCTGCTTACACATGCACGTGTGCATGCGTGCATGTGTGTGTGCGTGTGCTCTAGTCCTTCTGTCTTTCTCTAGGATCTCAAATCTCTTCTGTTTATTAAACGGTGCCCACTTTCCTCCCCCAACCCCTGAACTCTACATATGCTAACCCTAGTCCAAAGCTGTTCTCCAAGCGCAAGTCAACACTCCTTCTGAGACCATCATCCTTAATCACCCGCTGCTCCTTGCTCTTGCTTTGTGCATGCCAAATCCCTCAAACAGGGCAGTAGTCCTGACCCTGTGCTAAGAAACATATCTGAGACAAATCCTGGGAGCAGATCTGAGATGCACACTCAGGATTGTTTAAAGAGGCAATGTAGCCACATTTTGGACATTTGATGTGCTGCAGGAGTGGGATGGGTGTATTTCTCAGTCATAGGCACAGCCAGGACATGGAGGGAAAGGAGATAACGCCTGGCATAATAACATGACTTAGAAAGACAGACTGATGTGCTCCATCCATTGTATTATTGCTCTGAAACAGAAAGTGAACTAAATAAAAACATTTAATGATCCTATTCAGTTTCATATGGGCAATCATACCAGTCTCTTCACTGTAGTAGCTGACAAAGGAGGATGCTGTAATCGTAATGATTTTCTGGGGGCAGTTATATTCTCTGGGGCTAGCCATCATTCTTGGCTCTTTTTATGAGGAGTCTCAGCCTTGAAGACTATGCATGATTCCTAATACGCAACATGCAATTCAGCATAACCTTATCTCAGAAAGGCTAGGGACAGAAGTTACACTTAAACCAGTGTAAGTGATCAGAAATGGGTTTAAACCTGTAACAAAACAGAATTTCAGTGCACATAAACCAGTTTCAAAATGGTCAGAACTGGTTTAAGATAAACATGGTCAAATGTAGTATCAGACTTAAATCAGAATCACAGAATCATTGAAGTAGGGTCGGAAGGGACCTTGTAGATCTTCAAGTCCGACTCCCTGCCTGGGCAGGAGAAAAACTGTGCTCAAATGACTCCAACCAGGTAGGCATCAAGCCTCCTCTTAAAGACCCCCAGGGTAGGAGCCAGCACCACTTCTCTTGGAAGTTGGTTCCAGATGCTAGCCACCCTAACTGTGAAGTAGTTCTTACGGATGTCTAATCTAAACCTCCTCTCCAACAACTTATGGCCGTTATTCCTTGTTATGCCAAGGGGCGCTAGGGGAAACAAGGTCTCTCCCAAACCCTTCTTGTCCC